TGCACCATATAACATACATGCACTTTCAAATTATTTCATCATGGGCTTGAAATATGCGGTGGCTTCATGTGTTACTGACACGTAACCTCACATTAAGGTCAGATGTCACGTGACGCATTTTAACCAATCAGACTGCCACACTTATGACAACATTGTTTCACTTTTTCCTTTTTAAAAAAAAAAAACCTGTAATGAACTTTGCTGGATGCCGTTTGTTACTGTTAAAAGTTACAATTTTTTTATATTTAACAATGAAGCAATCTTATAGTCTTAAAAATGAAATAAAAGTGGCATTTGTTGTCCACATGCCAATTAAACTAAATAACATGCTGTAACCGACATCTGAATGTCAGGTACGGAACTACTTTTCCTATGCACAATCGAAATGAAACTGATAGTGCAGGTTCCTGTTTTTAAGCTTTTTTTTTCCAGGGCTGATGTAATAAAGCAAATTTTAACATGGTACGTTGTTTAACTCGCTCTGTGGCTAAGTCGATGCGAACGCTTCGTAATGCCGGGTTCGATGCCAGCTGCAGGCCATGCGCCTTGCGTTGATTTCGACAGTGGCATCAAGAAAGCCGACCGTCCAGGAGCAATGGCAAACTACTGGACGTAAATTTGCCTAGAAAAACCACACAACAGCCAAGGGCTGTTGGTGTTGGTTCTGCAACGTCCTGTAAAGGATACGCAACTAACTAACAACATTGTTTAAGAGACTGTAGTCAATCATCACCGTCTCCATTGTGAAGATTCGCCAGGGGATCTTTATGACTTCACGGAGTTTTATTCTGAGAGGGTCTGGTTTTAAGTTGTCTGTGTTTGAGATCAGGAAAATTCATATAGTAACATTATGAACTAAAGTTAAAGTGGAAAGATCGACTTTATTGCATTCCCTGTCTGGGTACGGGGATATGGTTGTGGTGGGGACTCCTTTTCCCCAACAAGCTGTCGTAAAGTCGACTATTTAGACTTGGTTCCTTTGAAGTCGGAGTGCATCTGTCTGAGAGGTAAGGAACCAACAGTCTGCGTACAAATAAGCCAGATCTGTAAAATGGATGTGCATGCGAAACAGAAGTTCTGGAACAAGTCTAAAGTCCAGAAGTGAATGAACAACCGACATTGTGTGCCGCAGTTTGTAGAAAAAGAAGAAGACTTTACTGCATCAGGTTTGATCCCACATGCCTCGGTCTCTCTCTCTCTCTCCCTCTCTCTCCTCTCTCTCTCCCTCTCTCTTCCAATTTACGGAGATCCCTTTGTTCAACGCTCACGGCAGACGCAAAACCGCTTGGTAGAGAGAGAAAGAGAGAGAGAGAGAAAGAGAGAGAGAGACTTTAACTTCACTTTCTAGCTCCCTTCTCCTTCGTGAAAATGGCGCGAAAAACACAAGAAGAAGGGAGCTAGAGAGTAAAGTTAAAAAGATGGGAAAACCACGGGGAGAGCTGCATGCGAAAGCGGAATATAGAACGTCTTGGTGTGAATTGGTTGAGGGCCTATGGGGGGGGGGGGGGGGGGGGGGATGGTAATGGTGGTACTGGGTGGAGACAAGTAACCACAATAAGCATTCGAAAACTCCAGGTGGGAAATTCATTTAATGAGGAAGACATCCATGTCGACCAGACCTCCATCATCATCATGTAGCAGGTCCTTTGCAGAACGTCGCTCTTATCACAGTCTGCTTGAAAGAAACTCGGTCTCTCGCCAGTTCTCCCGGCTCATGCACTTTCACGCTCAAGGAGTCACTCATATCCTGTGCCCATCTTCGTGTCGGTCGACCCCTGCCCCTCCTTCCTGGTACCATGCCTTCTGCTATATTTTTTTCCAATCCATCGTTGCGCTTGATATGACTAAAATATTTCAGCTTTCGAGAAAGGATGCTGTTTATTAGCCAATCTTCCTTGATGTTCAGATCTTTTAAGATGTCAATATTTCCTATCTTCTTTGTCCAAGATATTCTGAGAATCTTTCTATAGCATTTCAGCCCAAAAGCCCCTATTCTGTTTCTTAAGGACTGGTAGATAGTCTACGACTCACATCCGTAACAGGGAAGATGCATGCTCTCAAAATTCTAATTTTGACCAGACCTTAAGGTTAGGTTGGTTGCGTATCCTTTACAGGACGTTGCAGAACTAAACCCCAGCAGCCCCTGGCTGTTGTGTGGTTTGTCTAGGCAAATTTACGTCCAGTAGTTTGCCATTGCCTCTGGACGGTCGGCCCCCTGATACCAATGTCGAAACCAACGTAGGGCGCATGGCTCGCAGCTGGGATCGAACCCGGTATCCCGGCATTATGAAGCGTTCGCGTCGACTTAGACCTTACACAACTGAAAAACAATATCCCTAGAAACATAGGCCATCGCTGTGATATTGGCTACATGAGCGAGTGTCATTGTGGCAAAAACAGTAGTAGTGCATTTTACCCCACTAGGTATTCACACCAGCTATAAACACCCGATGACACAAAGTGCCACCACGCGGATGACCAGTGGAAAGGTCCCGGAAATCGCGTTCAGCCAATAGGCCATATTTATGATCGGGGTATATTGCGGCCCCTGGCAAGAGCCAGAATAGGGCTTCAAAATAACGAAAATTGCATCCCATAAAGGGAGGACGATTATATTAACTGGCAGAAACAGAGGCCTAACACCTTATAAGAAAGGCAGTTGTTTTAGCCTCATGGTGATCGGCAGCGACGTCACCTGTTGGCTGGCCGGTAGACAACTTCATCGCTGTCGGGTCAATATTTAGTCTGTCTTCATCAATCGCATCAACACTGCATGAGTCCTTTTCAGGGCTTTGACTGACTTTACCTCACTAGGACATTACCCTGAGCGATAAACACGTAAAGTGCCATTATTCGGATTGGAATCACCTGTGGAGAAGGATCCCCGTATTAGGGCCCCCGGCAACAACCAGGGTGAGGCTTAAATAAACACACGAAAACTTCGTCCCACATGGGGACGGAATTAGTATGTTACAATTTTCAAGGGTTGTTATGGTGTGCAATGCTAAGTGGAGCGCTTATGGGTTACGCCGGTGTGCCAAGATGTTGATCCGTTGAGTAAACATAAATAAACATGCCGTCTATCAATATTCGTTCGTAAATGGTCTTCATAGTGTCTTCTTTGTCCAATATAAATGTAGCTGTCGATTTTTTTGTAGCCAAAAATATCATATATCTCGTTCATTCCCTCGCTCTCCTGCATATCCCGGAAAATATCTCCACGTAAGTCCCTGTAACGTTGACGTGCTGATATTTAACATGCACTCACGCCACATTTCACTGATGTTTGGAAAACCGTTAAAATGTCGCACTATTTTAATACTTTCGGAGACTTGATACTCTGACAGCCCAGTTCATGGTACATAATAATGCGATTAATTTGTGTGTCATTTGCTCTCTTCATCTTTATTGTCAGCCCCTTGTGCCTCACACAGTTTGGGGGAACCAACTCAATGCCACTTTGTTACCTGAACTCGCGAGCCTGGCATCTCTTCATCTCCAGGTAGCTATTGTCCGGGACACTTTTATTGCAGTTAAGGTCAAGTCCGACCCGAGAGGTCAAGCAAAAGGTGAAAGAATAGTCCAGAACTTTCATTGAGGAAATCAGCAGAACACGTCATTATGACGTTTAAAGTTTTGCCGTGCCATATAAGGGTTAAAATATTACTGGGGATTTCCTCCTTTCTAGTCACATGATCAGAAAACCCCGCTGTTGTTACTAAAAATAGCCTACTGGTTTATAATGTAGATGTTGAAAATACAGTTTCAAGCATATCTTGGCAGTAGAATACAAAAGTATCAAAGCTTACAATGTAATATGGGTAAATAATCGTTTTGGTGATGGTAAAATAAAAATTTTCTGGTTAAAAAGGCTGAAAATGTATGGCGGATGAATACAAGTTTGAATCGATATCTGGTGTAGGTGATTTGTGTTCCGTGTCACTAAGAGATTTTATAATGGCGTCGTCGGTTGATTCTCTACTTGTGATGTTTTAAAGCTTGGAAGGGCGGCTGTGTCATCCCTTCCTAGATTTAAAACAAGATCCACACAACTACTGGATTGTCACGATTGAATCTAACCAAAATCTTACACCGATTTTACTCTCTGTGTGTGGCGAAAGCCTACAAAAGACATTCTGGTATCGACGTAGAAAGAAAGGAGACAAAAGCTAGTAACAGGGCTCGGTGAGTCATCATTCCAGGTTTCAAGTGATCGCCGCCCGTTAAATGGTTTAAATAACACTTGTATTAGCTCCGATAAATTAAAATCATGCTTCTGTGAGCCGCGTAGATCAGTTTTAATGGACGTGAAAGACTTGTTCCTCAGCTAGAACCAGCGTGCTCACATCAGCCTATTTCTGACTATTTCATCATATTGGAGCAAGCCGGATTAAATATTACTGCGTCTTTCTTTATGTAGACAAACTTTCCGAATGTTACAACACATTTTGTCAAAAATGTTGAACTTGTAGATTCTAGAATTGTTCTTGACACTTTAAAATCTACGTATAGACTTTGTAGATTGAACAGTGGTTTTAATACTGTGAAGTATTTCAGCCTCTTATGTAATAACTGTGTAACTCATAAATCCGTTAATCAAGATGGCGCGTGTGAAATGCAATCATCGATCCACTAGTCTTTCCGTTAACAGTTCTTGCCATGAACACTTGTAAATTTTAGACCGTTTATTTGCACAGTAATACTATGGCAAGAATACCACAACTACCTCTTGGCGGTTTCAAGTCAGTGAACAATCAGAACTTGTAATTCTGACTTGAAAAGACGTTACTCGCTTAATCGGCAGCATTTTTGTTTTCTAATATTGCAATATCTTCGGTGCTAAATGTTGTGTATATTAATTTGTTGTGGATAATATACGAATTTGTTGAAAATCCAGTCTGTGATTCTGAATTCCGGACCAATTAATCTCAAAGTTTCATCCATTGTGTGTGGTCTGCTTTGTTAGATTTTTATCACTCGAATTATTCCTAGTTAATTCTATGCACCAACAGCAACTTAGGCCACGACTGCAGATAAGTCATGGGCCCAAGAAGAAAGAGGAATATGAGCAACCACCAAACTTAGGAACATTATCACCAGATTTACAACCATGTTCACCACCTACATTCTGTACAACTGAAAGTGGAGAGGCATCACCAGAACAGTTTCTGCAGATAGGGAAATATATTATTCGTCAGAAATCTCCATCAGTGGAAAATTGCACTGCTGTTGATAAAACTACAGGATTGGAATATGTGTGCAAGGTATGTGAATAAATACACTTTTTCTTGACATATTCCTTTTACATTTGATTTATTACAGTTTAAAATTATTAGGAATAATCAGTAAATATTTGTAAAGCAGTCTTGAATTCAGTCTCCATTTGAGTCTTTATTTCTTGTGAGTGCATGCTGTCCTGCAATTGTCCCAACCTCATATGGGCATAACACATTTCTCTGGAAAGAATAGGTAATGAGGGAGAGAGTCAGTCATTTCCTTGCATAATGATGTGGCCTAGTAAGTCCTGTTATTTCACATCAGTGCTAGAAATATGTCAGATAAAATTACCATTGTCTTGATTTTCTATTAAAGTGCAAACCTTTTTTTTTTCTCTTTTCTTGAGTCACTGTAAACATTTTTTCTTGAATTATAACAATGACTGTCTGGAGACACAACAATGACTGTCTAGAGACACAACAATGACTGTCTAGAGACACAACAATGACTGTCTGGTGACACAACAATGACTGTCTGGAGACACAACAGTGACTGTCTGGAGACACAACAATGACTCTCTGGAGACACAACAATGACTGTCTGGAGACACAACAATGACTGTCTGGTGACACAACAATGGCTGTCTGGTGACACAACAATGGCTGTCTGGTGACACAACAATGACTGTCTGGTGACACAACAATGACTGTCTGGAGACACAACAATGACTGTCTGGAGACACAACAATGACTGTCTAGAGACACAACAGTGACTGTCTGGAGACACAACAATGACTGTCTAGAGACACAACAATGACTGTCTAGAGACACAACAATGACTGTCTGGTGACACAACAATGACTGTCTGGTGACACAACAATGACTGTCTGGAGACACAACAACCAGTGACATTCTTAGGCCACAGTAAACAGTGACATACTTAAGCCATAGCAGACATTGACAGTTAGGTCAAACAGTGTCAATCTTGAGTCTCATAGCAGACATGACAGTTAGGTCAAACAGTGTCAATCTTGAGTCTCATAGCAGACATTGACAGTAAGGTCAAACAGTGTAAATCTTGAATCTCATAGCAGACATTTACAGTTAGGTCAAACAGTGCCAATCTTGAGTCTGCATTAAACTGACTTTCTTTAGTCACTAAACAGAGTTGTTGTAGACACATAAGTATTAGGTCACTATGACAGCAGAGAACACTGCTGACATCAGAGATTAATTCAGCAAAAGAGATAGTTTAACTATAGAGATCAGTGTAGTAACGCTGATAATTTAATAGAGATGGGTGTAACAGTAGAGATTAGTTTTAGATCAGTGTAATAATAGACATTAGTTAAAGATTACTGTAACAGTAGAGATTAGTTTGAGATCAGAGTAACAATAGAGGTAATTAGATCACTATAACAGTAGAGATCAATTTAAGATCAGTGTATCAGTACAGATCAGTGTAACAAAAGAGATAAATTTAAGATCAGTGTAACAATAGAGATCAGTTTAAGATCAGTGTATCAGTACAAATCAGTGTAACAAAAGAGATAAATTTAAGATCAGTGTAACAATAGAGATCAGTTTAAGATCAGTGTAACAGTACAGATCAGTGTAACAAAAGAGATAAATTTAAGATCAGTGTAACAATAGAGATCAGTTTAAGATCAGTGTAACAGTAAAGATCAGTGTAACAAAAGAGATAAATTTAAGATCAGTGTAACAATAGAGATCAGTTTAAGATCAGTGTAACTGTAGAGATCAGTTTAAGGTCACTGTAACAATAGAGATCAATTTAAGATAAGTGTAACAGTACAGATCAGTTTAAGGTCACTGTAACAGTAGAGATTATTTTGAGATCACTAACAAAAGAGGTCAGTGAACAATATAGATCATTAAAAATCACTGTAAAACTTGAGATTAGTGTAACAGTAAGGATTAGTTTAAGACCAGTGTTACCTATAATTGGTTTAAAATCATTGTGTAACACTAGAGATTATTTTAATATTAGTGTAACACTAGAGATTATTTTAATATTAGTGTAACACTAGAGATTATTTTAATATCTGTGTCACACTATAAATTATTTTAATATCTGTGTAACACTATAAATTATTTTAATATCTGTGTAAAACTGGAGATTATTGTAATATTAGTCTAATACTAGAAAATAGTTTGACAGAGATAATTTTAACAGCAGAGATAATTTTAACAGCAGGTAGGGGTAAAATTAGAAAGAGATGGACACACATTAGAAGATAATTTTGGACAGCAAGGCTTGACGTGAAGTGGTCAGTGGGGAAATATTATTTTGTGGGTAGGTCCTTGGGTAGTTTACTTTAGGTTGCATCATTGCCATTCTGGCTGTACTGGGAGGGGAGGGGGGGGGGGGCAAAGGGACAAAGAAAAAAATAGTAATGTGTATTCATGTTCTGTGGAGACCTAATTTGTGTTTTTTTTAATTTAATAACTTCTCAATTACTACACTGGCTTCAAAGTGTCAAGTTAAGGTAATTTATTTAGCATGGGAATATGAAGCTTAGTGTAGAAAAAGATAGATATTACTTCCTGTACACCACTTCTTATAGAGATGTGGCTTGTAATTACTTGACATAACAGATCAATTAGACAGCATAAAATGTGATATGTTACATTACTTGGCATATAGAGAGACAAAAAATTGTCCTGCCATTTAGGGAAATCACCTGACACATAAGGAAACAGGAAGTCCACATTACTTATAACTATCTAAATTAAAATAATGTCACTGACAGTGGGTCATGACATTGTCACTTTGAAAAAGTAGTAGAGGACGAGGTTGGATCTAGCCTGAGCAGATGTGTTTTGTTTTTTTTCCACATGATGAACTGAACTAAACTAACCCTGTTTACAGTAGTTCAACTACTGCACCTAACATTTGCCTAGAAATATCACAACTGTAAAAACATGCTGGTTTTGGTTCTGCAACGTCCTGTAAAGGATATGCAACCAAGTTTTTTTTACCGTAATTGCCCCTGTTTGTTGCGGCCCTCCTTTGAGCTTATGTTTTTAGTGGTAGTACAGCCTATCAGCGTTAGTAAATAGTAAAGCCTGTCAAATGTGATTTTCATATATTATTTACCCAGCGCCCCCCCCCCCTTTCCCCGCAATACCCAAAGAGTGTAATAATAGTATATTCAGAGTTGCATTAGCTGCCATTTCATGAGGCTGGGTCGACCCAGGAGGCATAATAGCAGGAGAAAGGGGAAGCTCTTTTTGGGGATCGAAAAGATAAATTCGTGTACAAATGATTCAGCTTTCACCAGCGGCCTGTCCGCCATGTATTTCATAATAACAAAGACAGCGGGAACGTAGCAGTAATAAAAAATGTCTAGATGTGAAAGTGTCCATTTTTGGAATAAACCCGGACAGATCACAAAGGTGGGTTTATTTTTGTAACGGGGATGTATTTGTGTACCACATACGCTTCAGGTAATATGTTCTCTGAGCTAGAAAAATCTTAAGGGAGCTAACTGTACGTAGCAAGGACTGTGTCGCCGCGGACACGGATGCCGTCAGCATATTCCCTTTACCGGACTGATAGCCCGGCCTACTTCCGTCATGCTGACGCTATTGCGCAGTTCGCCGTGCTCTTCGATTTGTTGTTTGTTTCATCACTCTACGTCAGCAGTTGCTCTTCCACTATGTATTGATTTGGTTGTTGATGCTTCCTCGTACATGCGAGAGAACTAACCTGCCTATCACAAATACCAGGCTAGGGTAAATTATATAATGTGGCAAAGTGCGGTTGCACCGGTCCAGTACTGGAATAATTGAAATAACTTATGTAAATTGCGTGAAAAAAGGAAGTTATATGTTACAGTAGGAGATAGTAATTCTGAAAAGATGACAGCCAGTGTCAAAATTGTCACTTCATCTCCTTCTTACATACATTGTAAACCATCTATAGCCAGCTTTGCTAGCGGTAATGTCGTTGTAATATCCCCCTCTCCGAATGTCTATATTTAGTAACATGTATGAATTCTTTGTCGGCCATTTTCTTCCACATTGTTCTGAAACTAGAATTTCGTAGTAATGCTCATAATGTGACCGGTTCCATAGAATATCTACTGTGGGGTGGTTCTTAGAGTAACCTTTTCTTTCTCGCTGCCATTCTGTCAGCACCAATACGAAATATCTGAACATATTGGGAGGGGGGGGGGGATACGAAATCTCCTCTCTTGTGTTCGGGGAGTTTCCCTGTCTAAATGCCCCCTCCGGGTAGTTATAATGTCAGACCCATGAAAGCATTTTAGAATAGTGCGTTACGGGCGGGCTCCTCCCCCCCCCCACCCCCCTTTTTTTTTAAACCCCGGGAGGGGTGGGGAGACACTCTACCACTACAAATATATCATATAAGGCAAATAATTCGGAATTTACCAAGCATTTGATGCATTTAGCCGAAAGGTGATTAAATCGCAGCCTAGCTGTAAACGACAACGTGCCAACCACTGTTTAAGAGTGTTTACAAAGAACTAGAAAAGCGGTCCAAGTTTTCTGAGTCCACGGCAACTGCCTTGAGTTTTTATCATGATCAGGCCTGTTAGCTTCTCACTTGACGCCGGGGTCAGCCGGGTCCAGCTGGCCGCGTGGCCAGGTCAAAGTTTGACCCAGATACTAGCGGCGATCACGACCGCATGGGCGGGGCGGGTCACGCCGTGTGGTCACGGAGGTGTTGTATTTGTTGATCGTCGCTGATGATCCCTGATGAGATTTCTTTTGTGAGACTGGTTTGAATGTCAGGTCTTCGGGGGGGGGGGGGGGGGGGGGGGGAGATTGTCCGTAACAAGTATGTCGTAAAAGGCGACTATTTAGGGAGTTTGCCGAAATCGGATGGGCTGGGTAGATGTGGAGAACGAATTTCTTCTTATTTACTTCAGGGTCAACTCCGGCGGCGGATGGTTCTGATTGTTCGTCCATCTTTGGACTTAGGTCTTGTTCCAACAGAGCCTGAGTGTACATCGGTGTCACAGATTTGTGTACTGACTGTTGGTTCCTTGCCTCTCAGACAGATGCACTGAGCCTTCAAAGAAGCTCCAATAAGTCCACTCATTACAACATGCCTTTTAGAGAGGCAGCGGGTCTGTTCTTGTTTTGCCTCAATAAGGTCCTGTTAGCTTCCACACGGAGAACGAATATGAATAAGAAGACTGAGTGAAAACAACAGATTTTATTAGTGTGTAAACCAGCATTGGGTATACTTGCCAAGAAACGAGACCTAACTCCGGCTAGTTAATTTATGTGTTAAATTTGTTGACTCACTTGAAGAGTTAGCAATGATTGCGAAGTTTTCATGCTTCAATTATTTGATAAATCTTTTCTGCTTGCTCCTAGGTGTTACCGCTATGTAAATATAGACAGACACTAGCTCCATACTTGGCCACAGATGACCACCCCAGCGTGGCAGCAATTTGGGAAATCATTCTTGGCCAGAACTTTGCCTACATCTTCTTCCAGCGCGGCTACGGGGATCTCCATTCCTACGTGCGTGAGAAGAAAAAGCTGAAGCAGGCAGAAGCCCGGGAACTTGCCCGGCAGATTGTGGATTCGGTGCGGCATTGCCATGAGAGTGGTGTGGTGCTGCGGGACCTCAAGTTGAGAAAGTTCGTCTTCAAGGATGAGGCTAGGTGAGAGATTTTTAGTAGGCAGAGAGCGAGGGTTGTTTTGTTGTCTGAAAAAGAGCAAGGTGGTGAGAAATTGTGTCTCAGAGTGAAAGAGGAGATGTGTCCCAGAGTTCAAGGAGAGATTGTGTGTCTCAGAGTGAAAGAGGAGATTGTGTCCCAGAGTTCAAGGAGAGATTGTGTCTCAGAGTTCAAAAAGAGATTGTGTCTCAGAGTTCAAGGAGAGATTGTGTCTCAGAGTTCAAGGAGAGATTGTGTCTCAGAGTTCAAGGAGAGATTGTGTCTCAGAGTTCAAGGAGAGATTGTGTCTCAGTGAAAGAGGAGATTGTGTCTCTTGTGCAAGATGAAGCAAGGTTATATCTCAGAAGATAGTAACAGAGGAGGTGGTCTCAGAGCAAGAAGGACCAGATGAGTTGTTTTTTAGAGAGCAAGGAGAAGCACAGAACAGACTGTGTCTGATATAAAAGGGAGTGGGAGTGGAGATTTGTCTAAAAGAGCAATGGTCCATAGAGAGATTTTGTTTAAAAGAGCAGGGGGAGAGAGGAGTAATTAAGAGTATGTAATTTGAGATTGAAACTTCACGACAGACATGTCACTCCCTTACTGCTCCATTGTGAAAAACACAAAATATCCTTCACTGTCTCATTTGTAAACTATTAATTAACCTCAGTCCCAGACAAGTCTTGAAGCTCACACATGCAGAGTAAATGAATAAGGCAGCTGTCAGATGTGCTGACACTAACAGTTTCTCATGAGAATTGCAGCTATCTGTTGATGCAAGCAGTCGGCATATGTACACGTTATTTGGAACATAAATGGTCACCCATGATTTTTAGTGCAGTTGACAACACAAAGCTGTTGTGGGCACAACAGAATGTTGTTACATCAAGCACTTAACTTAGTAGCTGGGCAATGGAACTTTTAGACTCCATGTCCAAAAATGCGGATTTTGTATCATCAGCAAACCAAGGCTAGAAACAAATAACTTTTCAATGTATCAGCAGCCAGTCAGCTATCCCTATACTGGATCAGAAGTCTTGGATAAAAGGAAGGGGTGTTTGACAGATGGATAGGGATTTTTAGGTAGGGCAAATAACCTTTGAACCCTGCATACCTATCCTTACTTTGTTATGACAGTGAATTAAAGATCAGCTTGTAGTTTATTCCTTTTTTAAAAATATATCCTTGCATACATTTTTGTAAACAATTCTTTTCCAAGTTTCAACAATGAAAGTTGGCCGATGTGGACACCACTACTTTTCTTTATTGCTCTCTCTTAGTCTACTGTTGTTACCATAATCTTTCAGATTGTATCGCTGTCTACTTCTTGCTCACCTGTCTACTTCTTGCTCACCTGTCTACAACTTTTTCCTTCATATTGATTTGGCAAGAGTGGTATTTTGTTTAATGTGGTCGAAATATTTCACTTACCGTGTTATTACAATAAATGCTCAAAGGTTTAATGATTGGCTTTTCTCCAACAGAACTCAGCTTCGACTGGATGGGCTGGATGATGCTGTTGTTCTAGAGAGTGAAGATGCTTCAGACACTCTGACCGACAAACATGGATGCCCAGCCTATGTCAGCCCGGAAATACTCTCAGCTCGTGGTGGCTACTCTGGCAAGTGTGCCGACCTATGGAGTCTCGGAGTCATGATCTACACCATGCTGGTTGGTCGGTACCCCTTCCATGACAAAGACCCCCTTGTCCTCTTCAGAAAGATCAGAGGAGGTGCTTATAAAATCCCAGATGCCGTACCAGCTAGAGCCAAATGTTTGGTTCGCAACCTGCTTCGCCATGAACCAAGTGAGCGTCTGAGTGCAGCTGAAGCACTGGAACATCCCTGGTTTACACGACCCATTTTAGTGGAGCCGCCAAATCGACTTGTCCCATCGGTGAAAGGTGTTGACCAGGCTGTGCCAGACTACGACTATCCCATTGATGATGTATCTGTTGATTCCTTCTTACCAAACTAATGGGCTGTTTTATTTGATCTTCTTGTTCATGTTCTCTGTAGTGGACTTCACCGATCACTGTTGTATTTGGCAACACTTTACTGTTATCACGTTGTTATGAGGATGGTAGTGTATCAAACTTTGTTAATCACTGTATTCATTCATTTCCCATCATCATTCGTCATTTGGAACATATGGCTACAGCAGTCACTCTCCATCAGTTTTTCTTCATGACAGAGGTTATTTTATTTTAACTCTCTCATTCTCTCAGATTTCTTCACTGTTCTCCTTTGGTGCTTCTCCTTGTTCCCTTTTATCTCACAAACCGTCACCCCTCCCCTTTATTTCCTAAATTACTGTTATCTGTCCCTTTGTTTTCTACCTTGCTTTTATAACAGTGATTTGCAGTTGCTTTGTTATCCTTATTTATTAAGATCTAGCCATCTAACTCTTAGGAACTGATTGGGTCATCTGCTAGTAAAATTCTACTGCTTTCATGTGATAAACTGCAACTTATGCCATACAACAGAATATTTATATGTTTTCACAATTACATTTTTTGCTATTCTATCATTGTTTGTCTGCTCATGAAAGATAAATGGGCAGTTTTCATTTAAACCTTCTAATCTTTTAAGATACTGCACTTGGCTGCTTTGGGTCCCTTGTGAGACTGTAATTTGTTGTTATTAATAATCAGCTACAATTTTAAAAACTGAGTATTGTATGTGTGTGTGTTTCTGGTGTGTGTCTAACAGAGGTGGCTTGACATGAAAGTCTGGTTTCATCAGAGTGTGTTGAAGTGTCATGATTGCCTAGGCCAGTCGGCTCAGGGACTTGAAGAAAGGTGTTGTTGATGACACATTTGTTGCAGATGTTTTAGTTCCTAATACAAATTATATGTCATTTATATAAATTTTGTAACACATTGTATGAGGAAACACTTTTGTGATGTTTATTTTATGTTACCTTTGTCGGTATTTGAAGTCATTGTTAAACTAAGTGTTAAAGATATTAAGAGTCAATGCTGTTTTGCGTCGTACAAAAGGAGTCATTGTAATTCAGTGGCTAACACTTGGATGCAGCCACTGTGCTTATAGGTTTCAATTCACATCAAGGTGAATGTTTAACTTAAGCTCCACAGTGGATGATGGGTGCCAAGAAAGGAGTTGTTAAGTAATTATGGTGGCTGGTGTGATACATATCACATTATCAGTCATATAATGATGGGACTTTTACAATTTGCCAAATACGAAGTGGCCATTTTTTTTTTAAATCCTCACCTCCAACTTTTTTTTTTCATACTGAAAAATTAACATCCATTGACTGAAAGAAACCCTGTTTGGATAAGCAAATTCCAGAAACCATGTTCAACCGAATAATACAGTTATATTAAGGCACCTGATGGTTGCAGAGTAAGCATGAGTCCAATGTGTATTAGTTAGAGTAGGAGCTGTATTGGTACCTTGTTTCCTTTCTATTCAGATTTTGTTGTTAATGTTGGGAATAGCTTCTTAATTGTGTGCTGTGTCTTAGATTGGTCCTACAGATAAGACTAGAGAGTGTAGTAATTACTGCATTATTAGTGTTGAAGATTATGGGTAAGTTTGTTACAGATTAGAGTATCACTGGTTACATTTGTTGAGTGTCACTGCTACCAGTTGCTGGTCATGTTTTAGGTGAGGCAGCCATGTCTTGGGGCAGTATTTTTGTTGTGGCACTGTGCTGTTATTTGTTATGTTTAGCTTTGACAATTTGTTGCTCATATGTTTGTTTGTTGATGAGTTTGCCTACTTGTTATAGACATTTTGATGGGTAAGAAAGAAAATGTTGGCTGTAAAAGTTGTATTTCAGTGTTAGGTCTTTCCAAAGTGTGTTCCGGTGCCCCATTTGGGGGGTAAAAAATAGACATGCTGTCCCGGGTAAAAAATAGACACGCTGTCCCGGGTAAAAAAAAATAGGCACTCTGTCCCCTATAACAGACTTATTGTGAAAGTCAACTAATTAGGAGTTTAGCTGAAATCAGATGGGTTGGACCGAAAGGTGTAGATATTACAGCTAAGCTGTAAACAACAACACTGTGTGAAAGGCGAATGCAGGAGAAGACATCTGATGCCTGCCTCATTAATGAAGGTTCACCCAGCATTGAAGTGATTACAGATAGTTTGTAGCATTCAGTGGAAGTTACAGAAGTAATAGTAAACAAGGCAAGGATCCTTGTCCAGGCCTTCAGGCTGCAGCTGCATGTTAGAAACCAGTCAGCCTTTGGTGAGTGATTTGGCACTTGGTTGGTGATTCGGTCACCATCAGGCCAGCAGAAAAGTAGAATGGTAAATATTAATTAGCATTTATAGAAAGAAACCGAGATATGAGGATTTGAGGTAAAACATAAATTGCAAACATACTGCCTCCAAAATTTACCAGCACCCAACTAAAGGAACATGTCTTTAAAAAAAAAAAAATTGGGAGATGCTATCATATGAAAGCCGTGGGTTTGAATCCCAAAGCTGTTATCATTTGAAGTCCATGGGTTTGAATCCCCATCTTTTCAAGCTTTGTGTTGTTCAGTATCTCCTGTCCACAGCTTCTTGCGGTGGGCAGTTGAGAAAATATCGTTCTCATGGCTTTCAGATGGTGGTACGAGGTTTGCACCCTGGAAGAGTGTGTGCTTCACCTCGTAATATTTCCATAGATGTCAGTGAGAACATTGCAACCAACCTCCTTTGTAGAGATAACACCATTTTTTGAATAAATAATTTGACACATTATGTAAGAAATCACGCCAGTTATGCTTCTTAACCGTCCAAACCCCTTATGTGCTATAGAATTACCTTTACCTTTGACCTAGTTGCTAACATTGTTGCTACATTGTGTAAAATGTCAGACAGTCATACAGTTTTTCCTGCAAATATAAAGTGTGAGCCTGTGGGAAAGGTCAGAGCCCTGGGCCCTGTGGGTTCCCGGCTCAGTTTCTGTTTAATACAGTTTAAATGTGCATGTCTTGTGAGTTTGAGAGCCGGGTTATGAAAAAATGCAGATGTGAGATTATTTGAAAGACCATAAGTGAAACTTTGTGTGTGAGAGGGGTTAGGAGGAGCAAGAACAAAGATAACTAAGGGGTAGTGGGGTGGATAGTTTAGTTTATATCAGTGACAGGAATCGGTTCACACACTGCAGTTGTAATTGTTAGTAACAGCGATATGCCATATCAGATTTGTTGAATGGTTTCTACGACAAAATGGCCAGTCTTGTGTTCTGAAAGTCATGAGTTCACATTTGGGCTTGCATTCTGTAGGTGGATGCAGAGAGAGAGTGTGTGCCACGCCCGCTTGCATGGAAGAAAAGACAGATAGAGTGGGTGATTTGAGTAACTCGTCTCTGGAACTGTTGAGTTTCATGTGTTGTTCAGTGCTTTTGGCAAACAAAAGATTGAACTAGACAGGATAAAAGCAGGTGCAGGGAAGCTGACTCTGCTGTCTCCTTGTTTAGGAAATGAAGAGAGAATAGGTTTAGTAAGTCTTGATGTGTGTGTGATGATACCTTATCCCATCTTGTAGTAGTATTACATTCATTGTATGTATTATCACACTTTGGTATGCAAGTCTTGTATTGTTTGACCCAGTCTTACTGGTATACCTTTAGTGATCTATGTATTGGTAAGCTTTTGTACTATTGGACCCGGTTTTTATAGTTGTACTGTTATATCGTGTTGTTGGCTGTACTGTTAGAAATCCTGGTAAATCATTGCAATTCTTAGTTAATGAATCTTCTGTCTAGGAGTCAGAATAGAGAATGACATCAGTGTACCGACCGGGGTCGTTGTATAGGCTTTGGTCAGTGTGCATGCTGGGGTCTGTGTGTCTACAAACAGGAAAGGAAAAAACTGCAGGGCCAGTCATATTCATTGGGTGATATGATCAACATCATATGGCTGCTTTACCTCCTGGAACATTTCCCCCTACCTATTTAGGCTGGGTTAACCTGGGAGTCCAAGTCATTGGTTCAGAATAAATTTGTATACTAAAGAAAAAACTAAAGCATTGTTAGGGGTGAATAAATAAATGTACATGCTGAATAAATATTCTAGGACAGGAATCACTGCACCTGCAGAATAGCTGGATTATCTGCTACTGAAATCATGTGCCATCTCCGCTGTAAAAGTAGACTCCAGTAGATCTGCTAGCAGATTCAGTATCTGTCTATGGTTGTGTGCTATCTGTCCACCATGTTTGTTTTCTGGATTGAATCTGCTACTAGAGAGAAGACATGAGTCTGCTTGCTGAGAGTGTTTGTGAAGACTGAAACTTGACTTTTTATAAAAACATGTCTGAGCTCAAAGCAGCAATGAACAAAACCTGTGTATAAAATGTCCTGTGACATATAAAAGTGTGTGCCATATTAGGGGCGCAGTTTGTTGCCACATTTGTGCTACGTGGACAGTAGATGGCAAGGTATGTACATAATGGGAGAGTAGCCGGGACTTGCTGTGTCTGTCACTGCATCAGGAATGAGTGACATATGTGAATTCATGAATTGGTGTGATGTGCCTAAATAATGTTGATGATATTACATAAGTTTGGCAACAGTAATGATGATATTAATGGGCTGTCTGTAGAGGTGGTTATATAGTTTTGTCATGATTTGATAGTCACAGTGGATCGTTGTTTATTCATCTGCAGTTACCAGGTGCGAACTCGAGTAGAATCTCCTGGTTGTTTGTCCACGTTTAAAGTTGGCTTCTCTTGAGTAGTGCATACACATCCATTTTTTAAAAGGCTTTTGAACTAAGTTTATTCAGGGGCCGACATGGAAATCATTACAGGCCAGAGGTCTGAAACCCAGTGGATGGTTGTGTTGTTAATGTCACTATTGAGGAGATAGTACACAATATTTCTAGACACCTTGGAGTGGATGAAAAAGCCAGAGTTAAAGGAGAGGGCATGTAACACATTTGCTTTATGTGGCCATAGAAAATGTAAATGTATGTGATTGAAATTTAGCAAAAAGGTCATGTAAAGCTGTTT